ACTTAAATCAGAATTGCTATTAATCTAAAAAAATGTTTAATATTAGTTATACTACTGATGAGAAAATGTGTAAACAGCAATGTACACATTTTCAACAGAGGGGTTTATTCAAATAACTAGTTGAGATGCCAAACTGACTAAGCCTTGATCTTGCCAATACTTAAGTACTTACCTAAATATTTTGCAAACATTCCTTCAATTTCAAAAAGCATCTCAGCAAAAATGAACTGAAATTTCTCTTCCACTCAGATTTAAAAAAAATAAAAAACAAAACAAAACAAAAAGCCCTCAAAAGACTACAAATTGAAAGAACATAAAATCGTATGGAGGATGATTACCTGCATCTTTTCTAACCTGTTTTTCTACTTAGGAAGCTATGAGCAACTCTTCTGGTCAATCCAGCATTCAGTTCCCACACAGGGAGGATGCTGTTCAGCCCTTTCAGCAATTAGCACTGAGAAACTTACTGCTTCTGATCCTAGGCCTAAGATGCATTCATTACTACTATTTATATATATTATACTATATATAATACACACACACACACACGTATGTATGTGTGTGTGTGTGTGTGTGTGTATGTGTGTATATATATAGTAATATGACTCTTGGGAATATCCATACTATTAAAACAATGATCACCAAGTGAATGCTTTAAGTGAATAAAATTTAATTAACAAACCTAGCTTTTGTCAAAATACATTTGACATCCTCAGGGTTAAAAGGCAAGTATAGAACAGCTGGGGCCAATGACGTGCTCTAAGAGCCAGAAGCAGACGCTTGATAACAGGACGCTTGATAACGGTATATAAGCCTACTCTCTATACTTGCCTTTTAACCCTGACGATGTCAAATGTATTTTGACGAAAGCTAGGTTTGTTAATTAAATTTTATTCTCTTAAAGCATTCTCCTGGTGATCATTGTTTTAATAGTGTATGTATATATATATATATATATATATATATATATATATATATATATATATATATATATATATATATATATGTACATAATACATACATACATACATATATATTTTCTGAGGTTTTCGCGGGTATTTGTATGTAGGTCTTTGGTTGTTCGGGTTTTCTCCCGCGTAAAATTGGAAGTGTCTTGGCGACGTTTCGACGAAGTCCATTCGTCATCTTCAGGCTGGTGTTTTCAGCTTCGTGCTTAGACCACACATTGCTGCTCAAAGCACGAAGCTGAAAACACCAGCCTGAAGATGACGAATGGGACTTCGTCGAAACGTCGCCAAGACACTTCCAATTTTACGCGGGAGAAAACCCGAACAACCAAAGATATATATATATATATATATATATATATATATTCAAGAATATTGGTAAAAATACGACTCCCGGGCATAATTGTAAATAAAAGAATAAAACACGATCACCGGGAGAGTTGAAGTAAAAATACTTTACTAAAAATATATTAATACTAAAAAGTTGCCAAGCTTTCGCTGGGGGAACTCCCCAGCATCGTCAGGGCTAAAAGGCCATTGCAGTAAAGGTGGTTTAAGTAGGTTCAAGTAACATTTGCGCACAGCTCTTAGACCGTGTTACTGGCCCTGATTGGCCAGCTGAAAGCCAAGATGTGTCTATAACGTTATGTTCTTTTCTTCGGATGCCCTTCCCTATCCCTCCACTATTGGTCTTTAGAGGCGTTAGTAACCTTACATCACCTCCTCTTCCGATAATACCAACGTCTGCCGTGTCAGGGGGAGGACTTGATCTGATGTTTTCTTGTGTTTTGCTCCTCGAAGCACGAAGCTGAAAGCACCAGCCTGAAGATGATGAATGGGACTTCGTCGAAACGTCGCCAAGACACTTCCAATTTTACGCGGGAGAAAACCCGAACAACCAAAGACCTACATACAAACACCCGCGAAAACCTCAGAAAACATATATTCGTAGATTTTCATGGGTACAGTTATGTAGGTCTTGGCATTTTCGGGTCTTTTCCCGTGTAAGATTGAGAGTATCTTGGCGATGTTTCGGCTTCGTGCTTGTGCAAGCAAAGTGTGAGCAAAGGAGAGACGGCAGCTCCGATTACACTTTGCTTGCAGAAGCATGAAGCTGAAGACCCCAGCCTGAAGATGATGAGTGAGACCTCGTCGAAACGTTGCCAAGACACTTCCAATTTTACGTGGGAGAAAACCCGAATAACCAAAGACCTACCCACGAAAACGTCAGAAAACAAATATACACACACAAACACACACACACACATATACATACATACACACACACAAACATACATACATACACACAAACATATATAGGCATATTTATATATATACTTACACACCCTGCCTTATTGTTAAAGCATAACAAACAATAACATGATACACTGAAAACAAAGGCTTATTAAGTTTGTCAAGCTAGTTTAGGAGCTATTGACCACCTTCTACCATGATTTTGTTTAATCACCTCTTAAAACAATAAAAGGCTTCCAACACCACAGCATTTTTCCCCAAACCACAACAAAGGTTAAAGTTAATCATGGGTCATATGCTTAATTATAAATTTATAATAGGGGCTGGGCTTGCATATCATAAATACAGTTGGGTTCAAATGCATTGGTGTTCCAATATGTCAAATAAGTCCAAGTATTAATTTTAAATCTGTGAATTATTCAGTGATCTAGAGTTTTTCTTTCCTGCAAGAACTCTTTCACCCAGCAGCCTCTTCCCTCATTTTCTAACCTTCTTTCCATTGACAGTTGTGCACATTAACTCTCAAGAGAAAATCACTGCAGAATTTTCCCAATCATCCTGTTTTGGATAGGGATAGAAGAGGCAGAATGAGGATGTCAAACTTCATTCTTTGCAGTCCAGACTGGAAACAGTTAATTCCAAGAAAAAACCAAATAGTCTGATTAACAGTATTCTTGGAAAGATTAAAGTTACAAGAACACCAGTGAGTACTCTACATTCAGATGAGATACCTATATATAAACAATTTAAAACAGAATTATTCTGTTTCCTACTGGTAGTCTTGCTTCTTTAAGGCAGACATGTCAAATACAAGGCCCGGGGGCCGGATAAAGTCCACAAAGTGGTTTCATGTGGCCTGCAAAGCCATCCTGGAAACAGTGAGGGAACGGCCCCCTCTGCCTTGGCCCTGGCCCAGGTCAGCGGGAGCCAGTGTACAATTTTGTGGTGGCCATCTATGCTGAAACACATTCAGTCTTAGCTCCACAAGGCTGTCTGGAAACAGCGAGGAACCAGGAGAACCTTGAGCAGCAGCCTTGAGGAAGTGGGGCTGGGCTTGGTGCTGCAGGTGCTCAAGGTCCAGGCTGGGAATTTGACCTCTGCTGCCCAAGCTCCGGACAGTCCACACCACCATCCAGCCCCCCCCCCCGCATGGCCTGAGAGGAACAGTGAGGCTCCTCCAGTGGACCATGTCTTGGCGCTTGCCCTGGTCCTACCCCCTTCTGCCAGAGAGCCTCAGATCTATCCCACTCCTGCCCAGGCCCCCACAGGTACCCTTGTCCCGAATGATGTAGAGCTGGGCACGCCCACCCAGTAGGCCACACCCACTCCATCCACACCCACCCAGTAGGCTGCACCCACCCTGGCCACACCCACCCGGCTCCCAGGGCAACCGCAATGCGGCCCTCAATGAAATTGAGTTTGACACCCCTGCTTTAAGGCAATCAGCATCTGTTATCTGACTTAGTAACTAATTATCAATGTGAAAAATAATGTCAGGGAGGGTAAAAGATGCCTATCTCATTTCTTTCAACATCCTCAAATTGCATAGTTCTTTGTCCTTCCAAGCCACACCACTTTTCCAAACAAGGTTCATTTAACATGCTACGTGGTGGTATGGTTTGTGAACCCAGGCAACTGCAATTAACCAGGGTTAAACAAACCAAAAGCCCTACCTACATATGACAGGGTAGCTGTATTGAACTAAGAGGAGTCTGATTCACTTAAAATTGAGGAGTGCTGGCCTTTTTCATGGTTGATTGATCATGTGCCACTGATTATGTGCCATCATGAGTGTTTCCCACTCCTGGGGGATCACATAATGTAGCTAGATTTTCTCCATTTCTTTGTCCTTTTCATACCAATAATGTATGAAAAGTTTGCTTCAGCAGCAGCAGAGACTTTAGCAGCAGTGGCAACCTACCACGCTTAATGCTGTTTTCCCTTCCTCCGAAGGCTTTTAACCCCTAGAGAACCACATTTTCCCTACATTATCACCATCACATGACTGCTCCACCCAGAGAAACGAGGCGCTGAGAAAAGCCAGAAAGGAAGGGGCGATTTTGCCCTGGCTTGGCGGTCAACCACATGGGCCTCCACACTTCTCAGGCACCCGCACCCCGCAATTAATTCCCTTCACTCCTCGCCTCCCAGGGATGCTGCAAAACAAAACCAAAAAAAAAAAAAAAACCCACGTCTCGGCAGAGCAGAGCCGTCGGGGGCAGAACTGGCTCTCCCGTTCAAGCAGGAAGGGAGGCGAAATTCCACAGCACCGGGAGGAAATCGAAGGCAGGAAAAACCGAGGAGGGCCGGGCAGAGACTTCGCCCGCTGGTAGGATAACCCCGAGAGTAAAGCGCAGGAACCAAACGTATCCAAGGAGCACCGCCGGGGGGGGGGGAGAGGGAGCAGGATCGGCAAAGCGCAGGGGCTACTTGAGGAAGGAGGACTGCGGGCTCAGACGAACCTCGAGCTCCCCCAATGTAGGGGGAAATGCGGAACTACCGGCCAGCGTAAGCAGCCTTGATGTTCAGCTGGAAAACTGGGCCCAGCGGAGTCTTCGCCTATCTTGCCTCCCCCCCCCCCGCTCCAAAGAGAGGACACCACCGCCTCTCCTGCTCCCCCCCTCCACCGTCTTTCCCTCGGGATTGCAGTAGTTCTGCACCGGGGCGGTGGCCACCTACGCCACGCACACAGCCCGCGAGGGAACTGGGGGGGGGGGCAGCAGAAGCAGGATAACCCCCCCCCCTCCTCTCAATCCGGCTGCACTAGTCGCCTCTTACCCCAAAGCACGCAGCTTCGCTTCCCTGGGACAGGGGTGGGGTGGTGGGGAGAGATGAAGATGAAGCCAGCTGTCCGGCTTCCGGACTTGGATAGTCCGAGCGCTCAGCTGATCCGGCGGTGACGGCCACTCCCTTCAACCCAGCCCAGTTACTGCACCAGCAGCAGCAGCAGCAGCAGCAGCATTCCCGGAAAAGGAGGAGATGGAAGCGATGCAGGCCCCGCCTTTTTCTTTTCTATTTTTTTTTTTCTCTTCCTCTCCAAAAGATGCTTCACAGTTTGAGATTTTTCGGTCTGCCGTACCTGAGGCCCCCCCCCCCACGCGCGTACAAATCGCTTGCGCGCGCACGTGTTTTCCCCCTGGCTGTGCGGGACTCTGTCCTAATAGGCTACTACAACGAACGACTAGGGCTATGTGTGGAAAAAGGCGGTGGACGCAACTAAAAGTGTCTCCTCGGAATTCAAGTTGCCGCCAAGTGTCTTTTAGCTGCCGGATCCTTTAAAAAAAAAAAAAAACACGACGAAACATGACACTAGCGGAAGGTAATACAAACAGTACAGTGTGTGACTTCTGAGCTTTCCCTTCCTTTTTTTTCTTCTTTTGCTTGTGAATAATTCTACATTGTCAAAGAACAGAGTGTTTTTTTCTGCCGCTCTACAAAACGCTGTGCACCTCTAAACGCCAGAACAGTATGGCATTGTTAAACTTAAAACTTATTCAATAAAACAATAATTGTTTACTGTGCTGTGTGGTGTGTGTCAGCCCGCCGAATCTTGTGCTATATGCATTGGAACATGTTTAGTGAGCCCCATTGGGCCCTCTTCCTTTTCTCATGTCCTGGTTCCCCCACAGCAGGGGTAGGCAACCTTGGCTCTTTTATGACTTGTGGACTTCAATACCCAGAATTCCTGAAACAGCCATGCTGACTCAGGAATTCTGGGAGTTGAAGTCCACAAGTCATAAAAGAGCCAAGATTGCCTACCCCTGCCCCCAGTGAATGTAGGTCCCTGAAACAGGAATACAGGTAGTCCTTAATTTATGACCACAATTGAGCCCAAAATGTATGTTGCTAGGGGAGACAGTTCAGTGAGTTGTGCCCCATTTTATGATCTTTTTCACCACAGTTAAGTGAAACGCTGTTGTTAAGTTAGTAACTTTGCTGGTCAGAAGGTTGCAAAAGGTGATCATATGACCCCTGGACACTGCAACTATCATAGATATTGGTCAGTTGCCAAGCCTCTGAATTTTGATCACATTACTGTGGGGAAGTTGCAGTGTGAAAAACGGTCATAAATGTGAAAAACGGTCATAAGTCTCTTTTCAATGCCGTTGTAACTCTGAATGGTCACTAAATGAACTGCTGTAAGTCGACTACACGACAGCATCCTCCACTTGTTCGCAGCCCACTGGGAGGGCAACCACACAATCAGATGTGTCCCATTACAACTTTTATCTCTAAGTCTCTTTAAAGTTATTTCCATATTTTCTCTTATACAAATCTTTTATTGCCTTGTTGCTGTAGGTCACGGGTGTCAAACTTGCTACATCACATGACGTGGTGCGATGTATTGTGACTTTTTTTGGCACTGCCGGAGCTGGGCTGGGTGTGGCCTCTGTATGATGCAACTGGCCCACCAGCCGGCAGTTTGACACCCCTGCTGTAGGTGCTCTGTTAGCTACTGTTGATTTTAATTTAATTCATTTAAACAACTGTTTGAATATTTTTTATTTAAACAACTTACAAATTCTTATATCTCATACAGTGATCTTAGGCAGCTGCACATGTATACATAATCCAAACTAGACTGTGTTGTTTCTCTGTGTCATATAATGTAAGTGGGTATATGCATAACTCTGTATTTATTTTTGTCATATTTATGTAGTGCAGTGTTTCTCAACCTTGACAATTTTAAGGCATGTGGACTTCAACTCCCAGCAAAGCTGGCTGTGGAATTCTGGGAGTTGAAGTCCACATGCCTTAAAATTGTCAAGGTTGAGAAACACTGATGTAGTGTATATTGGAGGTGGTGACTGAGAGCTATATGCAACAAAATTTCATTTTAATGTATGCCGATTAGTGTACATTCAAAGTTATTATTTTATTCTATTCCTGAATCCTGACTGCAAAAGGTGTAGATCAGGATTAGACAACCTTGGCTCTTTTATGATTCGTGGACTTCAACTCCCAGAATTCCTGAGCCAGCCATGCTGGAATTCTGGGAGTTGAAGTCCACGAGTCTTAAAAGAGCCAAGGTTGCCTACCCCTGGTCTAGATAATATACTTCATATGGAGTCCTCTGAGCCTGGGAGATCAGGATGCTCTCAAAAATCAGTTAGTGGTTTGTTTGTTTTTTTGCATTCTTAGGTTAAAAAAAAATTGAAGACTAAATATGATGGAATTTGTACTCTAAAATATCTGAAGGTTAGTCTGGGAAAGCTATTTTAATAGTTTTTGTTTTGTTTTTATATTGTTAAATTTTATATTATCGATATATTATTTATAAATTTTAAAATATTAAATTTTATATTATTAAATCCAAATTCTTACAACTAAAATACTGGCGGGCAAATATTTTTAAGTAAGTAGGGTAAATGCATTGATACAAACTGATATTTAGACCCTGTGTTAAGCAGGTTGGTTCTTGAATTTTCATGATGGCTACATAGACAGTGTTACAATTATCAAGTTGGCCACCAGGTGGCAGACCGATAACATCAATAAACTGATTTCAGTCATTGTGTTTGGATTTGTTTCCTAATTCATTTAGAAATGCTATACTGGTAATCTTCGATTTACGACTACAATTGAGCACAAAATTTCTGTTGCTAAGGGAGACAATTGTTAAGTGACTTTTGCCCTATTTTATGACCTTTCTTGCCACCGTTGTTAAGTGAATCACTGCACTTGTTAACTTAGTAATATGGTTATTAAGTAAGTCAGGTTTCCCCATTGACTTTGCTTGTCAGAAGATTGCAAAAGGGGGTCACATGACCCTGGGACACGGCAACCGTCATAAATATGAGTCAGTTGCTAAGCATCTGAATTTTGACCGCATGCCTGTGGGGATGCTGCAACGGTCCTAAATGTGAAAAATGGTCATAAGTCACTTTTTCCAGAGCCATTGTAACTTTGAACGGTCATTAAATGAACTGTTGTAAGTTGAGGATTACCAGTATACCATCAGGCTACTGAGGCTTTCCAATCTTGTTCCTAATTTATTTAACACATTACTAACTTATCCTATTATGGATGAAAACCATATAAGAAATAAATGTGGAGAGGTTGTTGTAAGAATAATCTTACAATTGTAAGAACAACAGGATAACAGAGTTGGAATGAACCTTGGAGGTCTTCTAGTCCAGCCCCCTGCTCAAGCAGGAGACTCTATATCACTCTGGACAAACCTCTTCTTTTTTTAAAAAAAAAAATGTCTTCTTAACCCTTTATTGAAAAGACATATATGAAAATGAAAGAAGAAATGCAAAATTAAAGTACAAGACTTTGTGATTGGAAAAAAAAAAACCCAAGAGAAAAAGACCAGTGTTGACTTCCTTGTCGCAACAAGGAAGGCTAGAATGTCATTTTAGAAGGAGTGTTTCCTACTTTGCCAGGATACCTTTTGGCATTGCATAGAATGCAGGATGGATTTCATTTAAAAGGCTTGATTTAAATCAACTCGATTTAAATTGTAATTTTTAAAGAGCAACTGTCATCTCTGTTCCTCAGCGGCTCCTCTACCTGTTGTTGACTCACCGACAGTCCCACTCACTTTAATGGGATGGCCTACCCCACCCATCCTCCGTAGCATGGCAGTCTGGCTCAGGAGGGGAGTGAAAGGGAAGGTCACCAAGCAAGGACTGGCCGTTGTAATTTTGAATGGTCACTAAACAAACTGTTGTAAGTAGAGGACTGTCTGAATTTGAATAAGATTTGAAGAGGCCAACCAGAAAATAGGCTTCAGTTTATTTCAGAGTGAAATTCTGGGTAGCTAATACAATAGAAACATCAATCCAAAAATAAAATGAGAGAGCCAATTTGGTGTAATGGTTTCAATGGAACTATTTTAATTCAGATTAAGCTTGAATCGAACCAATGCATTCACCCAGGCCTTTATCCGTGCGGTGGGAATCTGATCCTGAAAACCCAGTAGTGGTTCTGCCTAATGGTATGCAAAAATGGAATCTTGAATAAAATGTTGCTGGGTAGGCAATCAGCAAGTAATATATTGGGAGAAGATGACAAGCTTAGAGCAAGTATGAAAGGTCAGCAAGCTGTACATGTAAAATGTCATCTAGCCACAAGGGGGAGCCAAATATCACAGTTTCATAAAGTCCTTTTCATAGTTAGCCAATACTGTCCAATGATCAAGTGTGTGGGTGTGTGTGCCATGCACACAAACTTTTACTGTTTATTCAGTCTGTTCTAGATTTTGGTTTGTTAGATTTACAGTATATCCACCCTGCCTTTCCTCCAAGAGCTTAAGTTACCTTACGACAAGCCTGTGAGATACGTTGAAAAAGAAAATGGCCCAATGATATCCACTGAGGTTTCTGCATAGAGGAAGCAAAATGACAAGAGATGTCCCCTTTTTCCCATTGTTGTCCTAGGCCAGAGGTAAGCAACTTTGGCTCTTTTATGACTCATGGACTTCAACTCCCAGAATTCCTGAGCTAGCATGACTCAGCTTAAAAATCTCTCCCTTTTCCCTCAGTGTGGCTGGCTGAGGAATTCTGGGAGTTGAAGTCCACAAGTCATAAAAGAGCCAAGGTTGCCTACCCCTGTGACCTAGGCTAACATTTTAGCACTATTTTATACTGGTTATGAATTTCTTGTTAGGCTGTGTTGTTATCAATAGGATTAACATTCTGAAACTGCTTCTCACATTTTCCACCTGCATCAGAGACAGCACTCCTTTTCCATGCCTAGCCTGATTTTAGCAAAGACTTATCTGAGACTATTCTGAGTTTCTTTTCAGAATAACAGAGCTGGAAGGGACCTTGGAGGTCTTCTAGTCCAACCCCCTGCACAAGCAGGAAACCCTATCCATTCCAGAGAAGTGGTTGTCCAGTCTCTTCTTAAATACCTCCAGTAATGGAGCACCCACAACCTTCATTTTCATCTGCAGTTAAAAGAACGTGTGATTTATTCTGGTTTTTTAAACCTTGTAGATTTCAGATTTTTAGTTCTTTTAATTGCTTTTAATATATAAACATAAAGAAGGAGAACAATAGGCA